CAAGACAACGACCCCAAACACACCAGTAAACGTGCAACATCTTGGTTCCAGACCAACAAGATGGACGTTATGGAGTGGCCAGCCCAATCCCCGGATCTTCATCCAATAGAAAACTTGTGGGGTGACATCAAAAATGCCGTTTCTGAGGCCAAACCAAGAAATAGAGAAGAACTGTGGAATGTGGTCCAATCATCCTGGGCTGGAATACCTGATCACAGGGGCCAGAAGTTGGGGGACTCCATGCAACACAGATGTACAGCAGTTCTCAGAAACAGTGCGACTACAACCAAATATTCATGAAGTCATTCAAAGGAAAGCAAAATCTTCAAACATTTCTCAGTTTATATAGTGAATGTTGGAGTTTGTAAAGAAGAATACAAACACGGCCATTTTTTTGAACCGTCTAATATTCACTTTTCTTCAGTTTTTTTTAGAGGAACAACACAAATTTGATGTATTTTTCTTCATGTTGTGATTTGGAATAGAATGTGTCGTGTTCCCAATGCATTTGTGTGGATGGAAATAAAAGCTATTAGAAGGATTTTCAGCTTTAGTCACTTTTTTCATCACACGGATATTATTCTGAACACAACTGTAGTTGCAGTTGAAAGTAATTCTCTTCTCCTTCGGGGAATCTTGTACTTGTTTTATTCTTGCAATGAGTGACATCAGAGAACAATCGGGATCTATTCTTGGTCGTCCTTTTTATAGCTTGGAGTCCTATTTACCCCCTCTGACTTACCCCTCCAATTAAAGCCCAACTCCAGACTCCCCCCTCTGCCATTCAGCTCCCCTTCCCCACCACATGGATTTTTTTGCTGAATTTCTTAGTCATACCTCCCCTGTCCCATTGTCAGGGATGCGGCAGTGACGGCCAGATCTGGGTGGCTACACTTAGGAGACTGGGACCAGACTGTGAATGTGTGTGAAACCAAAATCCAAACATCAGGAAACATAAAGATATAAATGGATCGTAACCCAATCAGGGGTGGACTGACAACTCATGGGGCCCCCGGGCAATAGGGGATCATGGGGCCCCTGTGTCCTTGCCCAAACTCAAAAAAGCCTATGAAAAAGGTACCAGGGGCATCTCATGGGGCCCCCTACTGACTCCGGGCCCTCGGGTAGTGCCCGAGTTTCCAAATGGTCAGTCCGCCCCTGAACCCAATAATAAGTAATTGAGAGCCTAATTAACTATATACAACATGTACAAAAATGAGGAACGCAGATACACAGGGTAATACCAGAGGTGGGGGAAGCAGGACTGGGATCAGGAATGAGGGGGGGGGGCAGACAGTGCCGGGACAAAGTCATCCAGTGTCCAAGGCAAAGAAGCCAAAGAAGCCAAACCGCACCCCCCCCCTTAATTATGTGCGATCTTAAGGGATGCTACCCCCTGCAGTTATCCACTTGTATGAGAACGAGCTCAGTGGTGCCCCCACCCATGCAGTGAACCTCTGCGCCCAGGGCAGCTGTCCCTCCTGCCCACCCCTTGTCCTGGGGGCAGATATAAGGAAGCTGGGCAAGAGCAAGATCAGGAGCAGGATAAATGGCAAGCAAGTATCTGGCTAGCAAAGCAGAACATGGAAAGGAGAGGCACTAGTAGAGGAGGAGCTAAGTACCCTCCCAGAAGGAGGAGACTGATCACTGGGATGGGCTGCTGGGACACACTCACTGGTGGACAATGGAGCTACATCCCTCCACCCAGGGAACCACAGTGCTACCAGCAGGTGATCCGGGTCCTGACACCATGGAGTACTGGGTCTTCCTCAGGGATGCAGAGAGTGGTGCCGCAGGGCATGATTACACTGTGAATGCAGAGTGCCAGGGTGATTCCACCTTATAGGGTGGGTCCATGAAACCCTGAACTCACAGCAGTGCTGGGACAAGGTCATCTAGCGTCCAGGGAGAAGATCCCAAACAGCGCCCCCCAAAATGTATGAGCATTATGTGTAGACAAAAATCTCCCCCCCCAAAAAAAAAAAAAATTCAAGCACTATAGGGGGGCTATAGAGGGCTATAGGTTCACAACATTGGGGTCAGATTGCCTCTGTACTCCACTGTACCCACCCCCTTCCAACATTTTTTGCTGGGAGGAGATGGGGAAGGGAAAACAAACACTGCACAGTGGCAATCAGGTAGTCCCAATCCCGGAGAGCTGCAGTGTTAGGAGGGGGAGATGGAGGGGAGAGAGAGCACAACCTGTCCCTCCTCCCAGCTTCCTCCTCCTCTTCAGAGCTAAGCTGACAGGAGTAGTGAAGCTGCCGTCACTACTCCTGTCAGCTTGTAGAAAGAAACTCTCCATGCAGTGCCCCCCTCCCCAACTCACATGATACCATCATGCTCAGGGAAGCCACCCCTCCCACCTACCCCTTGTCCCGACCCTGACTCACAGTATTTTCTCAGTCTTCCAGGTTGCTAGGTGTCATTCAGCCTAGATACTGAGGACATCTAATTGTTGAAAAGGGATACTGTGAGGAAAAGCACTGGAGAGGAGGCGAATATTGCAGCCTGAGCTACCTTTTAACTTTTATTCCTCCTGGGGCACATAAAATAACCCCATTTTAGCCCAGAGCCGGACTTTTAATACCTTCTTGATGAAATGTGGTCCACATGAAATGGATCTGCTAATTGAAATGGCTCATATAGATGATTTCGGTTTCATGCGTACTGTTATCTGTACCTCTTTATGACGCAGTAACGGCACTTAGGCATCTCACAGAGATATTGCTTCAAATACTCCACCATGCAGACTATTTCACCTTATAGTAATATTTAATGTACATCTCTATCCCATGTTTGTTATTAGCACTAATGTCCTGCACTTCCAGCAATGCTACACGCGGTCCGTACGATAAATTTACTCTGCGGTGGTTTATTTCTGTACAATCAGCAGTAATGTGTTTGTGTGAGGATTCCGGCAATTCACCTGTAACTCCGGGAAGGTACATTACTGCGTTCCAGTGCATCCTCCCAGTTCCATTCAAATCTAGGAAGAGGAAATCAGAAAGTTCTGTTTTGGAAGTGCTGATATTCTGTAACCACTCTGAAAATTGATGGCACCAAAGCTTAAATGTATGAAAGGAAAAAATTGTTGGTGCCAACATAAAATGGGATAATTACCTGGAGAACGTTCCCTCCTCAATAGAATGATCCATGTAACATAGAGTGAGTTGGACTCAGAGGAGATCCAAAGGATAGATACTTGTTATGGTATTAGGGCATGAGGACAAGGGGGCGCGCTTTACGTCTGGAGGAAAAGAAATGTAATCTCCAAACACGGAAAGGTTTCTTCACAGTAAGAGCTGTGGGAATGTGGAATAGACTCCCTCCAGAGTTGGTTGTGTCCAGCTCAGTGGATTGCTGTAGGAAAGTCCTGGATTCTTTCTTGGATACACAGAATATAACTGGATATAATATTTATAGGGAAAGTTGATCCAGGGAATATCCGATTGCCTCTCGGGGGATCAGGAAGGAATTTTTTTTTTCCCAGCAGGAGCACCATGGATCATGCTTTGCTGGGTGTTTTGACTTCCTCTGGATCAACTGTGGGTGTAGGATTATAACTTTTTTTTTCTATGGTTGAACTGGATGGACTTTTGTCTTTTTTCAGCCAGACTAACTATGTAACTATGTAACTTGGCTGTCCTGCCAGGTTAGTAAGAAAAGAAAGGTTTATGATGCAAACAGCACCATTAGCCTCAAAAGTGGTAAGAGCAAAACAAGGTTCATAAGTCCCATAGGAGTGCGCACAGGGTGTGCCGGATGTGCCTGGGCACACCCTAATCACCCATAGTGGCTAACTGTAATGGATGACATGCACATTATCAGGACGAATCTCCTCCCCTTACCTCCTTCCCCAGCAGTTTCAGGCCCTCCTGGCTCTCGGGAGGACTGCAGGAACATCCCCAAGGTGGAGCCTACATCCTCTCGTTTCTAGTACTGCAATTAAGTTTGATTGAGCGGGGATGCGCCCAGTCTCAGAGATCACACCTGGCCCACCTTCTTCTGGTGCTGTGTCATGTGTGCATTGTATATATATACGGCTCAAAACAATGAAAGAAAGGCTTTGAAAACCCATCAGATCTTAATGGGGACAAATCTCCTGCTGGATCTCTATACTGACATGGACGGGGGATGGGTGAGGAACGTAAGGACGCCCCATCATTGGATGGAAATGAAGACGATCAACCTACAGAGGACTAAATTCAAAGACACCCTGAAAATCAAAGTGAAGAAATGATGCAGCAGGCGAGTTCATATGGCTGAAATGTCATTGCAGCAACTCAGAATGGTCCTCAGTAGTCTGTGTGGCCCCCCACGTGCTTGTATGCATGCCTGACAACGTCGGGGGAGGGTCCTAATGAGACCACGGATGGTGTCTTGGGGGATTTCCTCACAGATCTGGACCAGGGCATCACTGAGCTCCTGGACAGTCTGAGGGGCAACCTGGCGGCGTCGGATGGACCGAAACATGACATCCCAGAGGTGTTCTATTGGATTTAGGTCAGGAGAGCGTGGGGGCCATTCAATGGTATCCATTCCTTCATCCTCCAGGAACTGCCTGCATGCTCTCCCCACATGACGCCGAGCATTGTCTGCACCAGGAGGAACCCAGGACCCGCTGCACCAGGAGGAACCCAGGACCCACTCCACCAGGAGGAACCCAGGACCTGCTGCACCAGGAGGAACCCAGGACCCACTGCACCAGCGTAGGGTCTGACAATGGGTCCAAGGATTTCACCAGAAACACCAACATGTGATAGTGAGCCTTCATGATTGAAAGAATTTAAATCCAATTAATGAAAGGGGTGGGGCTAGGTACAGTCAGGCTGGAGAAGAAAGAGCTAGATGATGCTGGATGTCCTCCAGCCAGGAAATGGGGCGGAGCTCTATCTGACTTGCTGCAGCTTCTAATGCACATTGTGAGAAACTCCCAGTGTGCAGTGACATCAGAGGAAGCCATTCCAGTCCAGGGAAAGAGCCGGTACACCTGTGCAAGACTGAAGGGGAGGAGCCGGTACACCTGTGCAAGACTGAAGGGGAGGAGCCGGTACACCTGTGCAAGACTGAAGGGGAGGAGCCTGTACACCTGTGCAAGACTGAAGAGGAGGAGCCAGTACACCTGTGCAAGACTGAAGGGGAGGAGCCAGTACACCTGTGCAAGACTGAAGGGGAGGAGCCGGTACACCTGTGCAAGACTGAAGGGGAGGAGTTGGTACACCTGTGTAAGTCTGAAGGGGAGGAGCCGATACACCTGTGCAAGACTGAAGGGGAGGAGCCGGTACATCTGTGCAAGACTGAAGGGGAGGAGCCGGTACACCTGTACAAGACTGAAGGGGAGCAGCCGGTACACCTGTGCAAGACTGAAGGGGACGAGCTGGTACACCTGTGCAAGACTGAAGGGGAGGAACCAGTACACCTGTGCAAGACTGGAGGGGAGGAGCCGGTACACCTGTGCAAGACTGGAGGGGAGGAGCCAGTTCAGCTGTGCAAGACTGAAGGGAAGGAGCCAATACACCTGTGCAAGACTGAAGGGGAGGAGCCGGTGCACCTGTGCAAGACTGAAGGGGAGGAGCCGGTACACCTGTACAAGACTGAAGGGGAGGAGGCGGTACACCTGTGTAAGACTGAAGGGGAGGAGCAGGAACAACTGTTCAAGACTGAAGGGGAGGAGCTGGTACACCTGTGCAAGACTGAAGGGGAGGAGCTTGTACACCTGTGCAAGACTGACGGGGAGGAGCCACTACACCTGTGCAAGACTGAAGGGGAGGAGCTGGTACACCTGTGCAAGACTGAAGGGGAGGAGCTAATACACCTGTGCAAGACTGAAGGGGAGGAGCTAATACACCTGTGCAAGACTGAAGGGGAGGAGCTAATACACCTGTACAAGACTGAAGGGGAGGAGCCGGTACACCTGTGCAAGACTGAAGGGAAGGAGCCGGTACACCTGTGCAAGACTGAAGGGGAGGAGCCGGTACGCCTGTGCAAGACTGAAGGGGAGGAGCCGGTACACCTGTGCAAGACTGAAGGGGAGGAGCCGATACACCTGTGCAAGACTGAAGGGGAGGAACCAGTACACCTGTGCAAGACTGAAGGGGAGGAGCCGGTACACCTGTGCAAGACTGAAGGGGAGGAACCAGTACACCTGTGCAAGACTGAAGGGGAGGAGCTGGTACACCTGTGCAAGACTGAAGGGGAGGAGCCGGAACACTTGTGCAAGACTGAAGGGGAGGAGCCGATACAGCTGTGCAAGAATGAAGGCGAGGAGCCGGTACACCTGTGCAAGACTGAAGGGGAGGAGCCAGTACACCTGTGCAAGACTGAAGGGGAGGAGCTGGTACACCTGTGCAAGACTGAAGGGGAGGAGCCAGTTCAACTGTGCAAGACTAAAGGGGAGGAGTCGGTACAGCTGTGCAAGACTGAAGGGGGAGAGCTTGTACACCTGTGCAAGACTGAAGGGAGGAGCCGGGACACCTGTGCAAGACTGACAGGGAGGAGCCACTACACCTGTGCAATACTGAAGGGGAGGAGCTGGTACAACTGTGCAAGACTGAAGGGGAGGAGCCGGTACACCTGTGCAAGACTGAAGGGGAGGGGCTGGTACACCTGTGCAAGACTGAAGGGAGGGGCTGGTACACCTGTGCAAGACCAGAGGGAAGTTCAGCCAAACACTAACTATACTTGGATCTGCTCCCACCCCCATTCTGAGTCTTTGTTAAAAAGGAAAGATCTGTATACTCGCCTACACTGAGGGCACTCCGGTCCGGTCCCAGGTTCGGGCCCCAGCACCGGCTTCAGTGCAGAGGAGGGACAGCCAACAACAGCTGCAGAACCTGGGAGATGACATCACCCATAGGCTTACCATGGGGAATCCGTGGTCGGCTGTCCCTCCTCCCACACTGATGCCGGCACTGAGACCCGATCCTGGGACTGGACTGGAGAACTTTTTACAGAACTTTTAGAATAGACTTAGAATGGGGGTGGGAGCAGATTCGAGTATAGTCAGTGATTGGCTGAACTTCCACTACAATTGGAGTTTTTTTATATCTGCCCGGAGTTCAGGACAGAGACGTCAGCGGCTGAATATATATTATTAAGTATGTAACATATTATTCACACGTGTATTATGGCGCACACGCGGTTTCACTTCCCCTTAAAATAGTACATTTAGTTACTTACAATGTTACTATGTAACAACCACAATCCCCGCGCCGCTCATAGAACATTGACAACTTTCTCTACTACAACGATGCAAAAACACTTCCTATAGCGGAGCGCAAACTACTACCGAGCATCAAATGTGATGAAATAATAATCAGCCCCATTATCTCCAGAACATATATAGTGTATGGAGGGACCCAATGTTGTATGAAAGGTGGAAATGGGACGGCACTGCAAACGCTGAATTAGAATTAGGCCATTAAAGTGGAAGTAAACCCTCCGGGCTGCAAGTTGGAAAACACATTTAGGCTTTTACGTGCGCGTTGCTGCAATGTATGTTACGTATGTTCATCTTCAATGGCACCCCATTGCGCGCGCAAACGCACGCGCGCAACGCACGCGCACACTTGCCACTCTGCAAGAGCAAATCACCAGGGAGTCCTTTTCAGAGAAGGTTGACAGGAAATATGTTGCCTTTTGAATAGAGGGGATGGGGGGGGGACAGGGGGGTGGGACAGGGGGCAGCGGGGAGTGGGACAGGGGGTGACGGAGGGGGGGGGCGCCACCATCTAAGTGTAGATTTTTATTGACCACAAGAGAGTAAAAAAAAATGTGCTCACATGCTGTAAATAGGAAAAGGCACTTCAAAATGTCCTGAGGGCATCTGCAGAGCTGACCAGGGAAGCGGCGGCCAGGTATTGCAGAGTCATGCCAGGGAAGCGGCCAGGTATTGCAGAGTCATGCCAGGGAAGCGGCCAGGTATTGCAGAGTTGACCAGGGAAGCGGCCAGGTATTGCAGAGTCATGCCAGGGAAGCGGCCAGGTATTGCAGAGTCATGCCAGGGAAGCGGCCAGGTATTGCAGAGTCATGCCAGGGAAGCGGCCAGGTATTGCAGAGTTGACCAGGGAAGCGGCCAGGTATTGCAGAGTTGACCAGGGAAGCGGCCAGGTATTGCAGAGTCACGCCAGGGAAGCGGCCAGGTATTGCAGAGTCACACCAGGGAAGCGGCTGTGAAGGTTGAGCAGAGCTTGTCAAAGAAGTGTTGCCGGGCAGAGTTGTTGCAGGAAGCGGCTAGGTGTGTAAACACCAGAAGATCCAGCATGGAGCTCACTGCTGAGCTGCATCCGGAAACCAGAAGCGGAAGCGTGATGACGTCAGGACGTGGCAGCGGGATGATGTCAGTAGCAAGGGTGTGGCTGTACGTTTCAGGGCTTTGGCACTCCCCTTTCTCGACCTTTAATTTTTGCCAAGCCCGCAAAGCACATGCCTTTATTCAGGTGGGAGGTGAAATAGGAAAAGGCACCTCAAAATGTCCTGGGGGCATCTGCAGAGCTGACCAGGGAAGCGGCCAGGTATTGCAGAGTCACACCAGGGAAGCGGCCAGGTATTGCAGAGTCACGCCAGGGAAGCGGCCAGGTATTGCAGAGTCACGCCAGGGAAGCGGCCAGGTATTGCAGAGTCACGCCAGGAAGCGGCTGTGAAGGTAGAGCAGAGTTTGTCAAAGAAGTGTTGCCGGGCGGTGCAGAGTTGTTGCAGGAAGCTGCTGGGTAAACACCAGAAGATCCAGCATGGAGCTCACTGCTGAGCTGCATCCGGAAACCAGGACCAGAAGTGTGATGACGTCAGGACTTAGCAGCGGGATGACGTCAGTAACAAGAGTGTGGCTATACGTTTCAGGGCTTTGGCAGTCCCCTTTCTCGAGCCTTAGTTTTTGCCAAGCCCACAAAGCACAGATGAAAAAACAATCCTCTTATGTAAGTTGTACCTGTTTATCTGTCCCAGTTTAGGTTCCACAGTGAGTATAACAAGCACGCTTTACTGCATCTACAGACTGATTGTCCTGTTGGGTTTAGTAACACTCTAATGATCAGGGCTGAATGGCGGCTTTTATTTGGAGTCCCGCCTTCATTACGACCAACATCTACATGACATACACACAGGGAGGTCCTACAATGTGTTCAATCAGAATGGCGTCCTGAAGGTGAATGCATACTTTATTACTTTTTTTTCCTCTTCCCGTCACTGGTTAATCCGTAGCGGGTCATCCATCTGTGGTTTGTATTTTCAGGGTCTTCCCATACAAATAGGTTATTAGTGACGCGAATGGCGAGCCTCGGACCCCCTTCGTATCTCCAGGAATTTCTCCATTAATGTATCTTGATGGTTCGGCTTCTATAGTCCTTCAGCGAGGGACGTCCCTCTCCGCGTCCCGGAGCTATTTCAGCACTTCACTCCAACACCGGACCATAATAGGCCGTGCCATCTACATACGTGGCTGCAGATGAAAGCACATGGCCGGGGGGCTCGGCATGCTGGGAGATGACAGCCACTTGTTCTATGCCGAAGACACAATGGCTTCATATCAAAGGGTCTGCACTTACCCCGGGATTCATTAGCCTCATCAATATGCACAATGTGCGCCAACAACTGGGACACTCCGACTTATTAAATCATAGAAGTAATTATTTCCTGACATAAAAATCCTCCGATTAACATTCTCCGGCTTCCAATTCCCTCGCCATGAGTCCCGCTGCCTGTTGTTTTAAAGGGGCGGCGAGCCGAAATGTAAACCTGGTTTATATAAGAGAGCGGTTAAAGTGTTACTAAACCCCGGACCCCGCATTCACTATATCCGCTCTCCCCGGACCCCGCATTCACTATATCCGCTCTCCCCAGACCCCGCATTCACTATATCCGCTCTCCCCGGACCCCGCATTCACTATATCCGCTCTCCCCGGACCCCGCATTCACTATATCCGCTCTCCCCGGACCCCGCATTCACTATATCCGCTCTCCCCGGACCCCGCATTCACTATATCCTTCTCCCCGGACCCCGCATTCACTATATCCGCTCTCCCCGGACCCCGCATTCACTATATCCGCTCTCCCCGGACCCCGCATTCACTATATCCGCTCTCCCCGGACCCCGCATTCACTGTATCCGCTCTCCCCAGACCCCGCATTCACTATATCCGCTCTCCCCGGACCCCGCATTCACTGTATCCGCTCTCCCCGGACCCCGCATTCACTGTATCCGCTCTCCCCGGACCCCGCATTCACTATATCCGCTCTCCCCAGACCCCGCATTCACTATATCCGCTCTCCCCGGACCCCGTATTCACTATATCCGCTCTCCCCGAACCCCGCATTCACTATATCCGCTCTCCCCGGACCCCGCATTCACTATATCCGCTCTCCCCGGACCCCGCATTCACTATATCCGCTCTCCCCGGACCCCGCATTCACTATATCCACTCTCCCCAGACCCCGCATTCACTATATCCCCTCTCCCCGGACCCCGCATTCACTATATCCGCTCTCCCCGGACCCCGCATTCACTATATCCGCTCTCCCCGGACCGTACATTCACTATATCTGGTCTCCCCGGACCCCGCATTCGCTATATCCGCTCTCCCCGGACCCTGCATTCACTATATCTGGTCTCCCCGGACCCTGCATTCACTATATCTGGTCTTCCCGGACCCCGCATTCACTATATCCGCTCTGCCCGGACCCCGCATTCACTATATCCGCTCTCCCGGACCCCGCATTCACTATATCCGCTCTGCCCGGACCCCGCATTCACTATATCCGCTCTCCCCGGACCCTATATTCACTATATCTGGTCTCCCCGGACCCCGCATTCACTATATCTGGTCTCCCCGGACCCCGCATTCACCATATCTGGTCTCCCCGGACCCCGCATTCACCATATCTGGTCTCCCCGGACACCGCATTCACTATATCCGCTCTCCCCGGACCCCGCATTCACTATATCCGCTCTCCCCGGACCCCGCATTCACTATATCCGCTCTCCCCGGACCCCGCATTTACTATATCCGCTCTCCCCGGACCCCGCATTCGCTCTATCCGCTCTCCCCGGACCCCGCATTCACTACATCCGCTCTCCCCGGACCCCGTATTCACTATATCCGCTCTCCCCGGACCCTGCATTCACTATATCTGGTCTCCCACAGTACACAGAACATGCAGATTATTTTAGTAAATATAAACCGCTAAATACCTTTTCCCATCAGCA